AGAAAGAGGGTGAAGGGGCTTTAGCATCAGTTACCAAAGCAGTCATAAGACTGGGCCAGATATGTGTATGTCTCAGAGACAATTGGAAGAACATACTGAAGGGACCAGGCAGTCCAGAACGACTACTGAGGAGGCCACAAGTCTGAAGGTGTGTCTCTACACAGGATGCAATTGGAGATGATAGAATCCATGTGCTAGTTACTCATCTGGCTGCATATCTAATCCCAGTTACTCAAGGTGGGAGGGGAATGATGACATGGGACTGTACCAGCCAATGGTACAGCTGTGATCCTTATAGACTTATGTGTCCAGGTGCCAGAGCAGGGGAAAACAGGGATCCAGGCACTAGCTGTTGGATAGACTTGTCTGGAGGGAATCACACTGAATATATACGTTTCCTACCATCAACCCTTCATTCTAGTCACCCATAGACAGGCTGTTGGAACTGATTTTGATTTTGCTGGTGGTGCTGGCTTTGTTTTTTTAACTGTGGAGGGTTTCTGGCTGTATCCATCAACAATACTGTTGTGAAAACAGCTTTGCCTTCCTTGCAACATTACTAACATCTGTTGTTGCCTGTAGTGTTATGAAAAAGTTGATTTGTTGTGTTTCTCAGCTGAAAATAGCTCCAGTTAAATTACTTAAGTTGAGTTTCGAGGCATGTGCATGTATGCTAATTCTTGCTAGAAATTAAAGTTCTGTACATTAAAACAATTCAGGCAACCAATTTTGTTTGCTTCCCCAGCTAAACTAAATGATTTTTTAAACATTTCAGTAATATTTTGGTGGTTTTAGTTTACTTTAGTACTACTAATTTGAACTTTTACTACAAAGCAAATTCTTTAAAGGAACATTTCTTATAAATGTCTTAGGAAAATTCTTGTAGTCATATATTGACATTCAGTGAGAGTAGGTTTCGTATGTTGAAGTCACTGGACCAGTGAAATGTGAAAAATATAAGATTTTTATATAATATTTAGATTTCTTTATATGTATAACATATCCACAGTTATATACATATTAAAAATTGGTATAAAATGTTTCCCATTATTTGAAGATCTCCCTCTGTTCTTAGGCACTGTCACCAACATGAAGTGATATTCTATGTTAGATTTAGGTCCTATTTTAGGTAATTGCCATGATACAGATATCCTGAAGGATGTAATCTTCTTTTACTAAAGTAAAATCTTGTCTGCCTCAAACCATCAAAGGAGCATTTTGTTCCTTGTACAATCTTTGTTTTTGCTTGCTCATTCTCAATCTCATAAACAATGGCTTTCATGCTGAGCTGTGTCTCAGTCTGCTCTTCTCGGTTTCTTGTCTATCTCTCTATGACATCCCACCCTTAAGGGCAAGGAAGAACCTAAGATTTATGAATGCTTTCAGTCAAAAAGAATAACAAAATTCAGAGGATCCACAAAAAAAATGAAGTTTTATTAGTAAATTACACGCTTGGCATGGAGATTGGTGTGTTAGTCCCTGACCTACTATATAAGCACATGGCAGTGGGTTTTAGATAAAGGGGTAGGGTGAAAGGGAAGAGAGAAAAAAAAGAGATGAATTAAAGAGGGGGAGAGAAAGAGAAAGAAAAGAAGAAAGAAAGAAAGAAAGAGAAAGAAAGAAGAAGAAAGAAAGAAAAAAGAAAGAAAGAGAAGAAAGAAAGAAGGAAAGAAAGAAAGAAATCAATCATCGGTTCAGCCAGTGGGATGTCCAGCACCCTGGGGGGGCACACCCAGGCACACCCAGGCCTGGTGGGGGTACCTTTAAATATATGTGTTTTCCCTCCCCTGAAGACAGGTTTCTTGCTTTCTCTGCAAATTAGTTACCATCTGCAGTCTGTTCTTTCAGACCTTTCTGGAAATAGGTCTCAGAAGGCTTCAGGAGTCTTTGGTGGTCTTGTATTCCCCTACTGGACTGACTTTTGGTTGGCTGTTCATGCTCGCTTCTGTGCTGACCCTGTCTTTTGTTTCTTGTGTCTCTAGGGACTAGAGCAAGGATGCTTGTCCCTGCCCTACCTCCATATGGTCCTCTTCTCCAATCCCATCTGGTTCTTTTAACAATCCTGGGTTGGCTCCATGGCTACTGGTTGTTGGTGTTTGAGACATACTCATTAGCCCTTTTTCTTCTGGGCTTCTACATGCTCTTGGGCCATAATTTCATCTCATTTAAACATTACTTGAGATAATTTTAGATCAAGTAGTGTTTCTAATTCTTTTTGGAAGTAATATGAGATTGTCTTTAAAATTTTGTTTTAACTCAAATTTTTTCTCCTCTGATAATCCACTAGAAGGCAGACCATATTGCATTTTAATTAGTGAAAATGTAGCTGTTTTCCTCAAATATTTTACACAAACCAGAATGTCATAAATTATGATTATTGATGCCATAGGTTAAAGTAGGAACACTTTATGATGTTGCTAAACCTGACTGGAAGTTGAACAGAAAGGCATCAATTAACCGTATTTGTGATGAATTAAGACGTATTTTGTCACCAGACTATGTAACTGGGTTGTGAGTTTTGTTCTTGGAAACAAGGAAATCCTGCATTTCACGGACCTGTGAAAGGATAAATCTTTGACAGGATATTAAAAAGAATCCTGCAGGTGGTGCACAAGGTATAAGGAAGACCTAACTCCAACCTAGAAGATGTTTTCCATTAAAAAAAGAATTCATCACAAAGAATTAAAAGTAATCCCAAAATCCAAGATTAAAATTATTGATGACAAACCTCAATAAAAAGTCCAGGGTACAAGCAAATTTCACCTCACTTTGCCAATGCAAGGCTTCTTGCACTTCTATGTACATTCAATGACTACATCTGGAAGCAAACCAAATCTTTCTGCTAAGCAGACAAAGATTTATTTCTTTTTCCTTCCAAAGACTACACTGTGTGATGTTGCTAGACAAGAGCAGAGCGAGTGTGAACTACAAAATACCTAGTGCATGACATTGAGCTGAAACCCAAGGGTCCCATCCATTTCTCCTGTCACACAAGAGGAAGGAAGCACAGGGGCTTGTGCATCAGTTCCATATCATTTCCACTGCAGGATATGTGTCCATTGTGTCTCTGAGGATTGTGGGGTAGAAGAGATTTAGTAATCTCAACAGAACTGTGAATCAATGTGTAGCAGTATGGATGACACCTTATCCATATAAATCTACCATATGTTCCTTTTATTTATGCATCCATAGCTCAAGATACTATTTTGTGCAGCCCATGTTATTATTATTATTATGATATTATTATGTGCAAGTCCAGTTATTAGCCAGATTCCCTTAGTTTTACCCAAGCCGTTACCTCCCTGTGCTCCTGAAATACTCTCTCACACACTACTTGCTAAGCAAAAGGCAATTTTTGGCCAGCCTGCACGAAACTCAGAGCCAGCCATCACAGGCATACGTAATGACTAAAGACTGAAGCCTTTTCTTCAGTACAGACACAATAGAAAGCTAAAAAATTCTTTCTACTTGAAGACTCAATTTGAGTTTCATTTCATTACAGAGATTGAATGTCTCTCAGAGATGCTGATGGTCACAGAATAATAAACACAGTAGAAAACATAGATATTTATTACGTAGAAGATAATAATTTGCACTATGGTAAACAGAAGCTTGAACATATGAGGCAAAAGAATTAAAGTGCTAAAATAGATACATGGATGGGTTGTAAAGTTAGCCTCGACAGTAATTTTAAGATAAGCTTCAGCTTCATCTTGAAGTTTTAGATTTGGGTCTTTTTTAGACAAATCCTTAATCTTACTTTCTGAAAATCAAACTTTGCTACTTCTTTTTCAGGTCCTTGTTTACTGTTGAGATGTTTAGCTGGTGAAACATTAGATAAGTATTTATACTGTAGCAAAGAAAATTAGGTTTGCTATCAAATAACTACAGATAATTTAACATATGGATATACACTAGAATATGCAAGAGAAAAGGGTGATAATGGATCACCTAGGCAATCCTGATTTTCTACGTCTGACAAAATAAAATGTGGTATTTTTTGAACAGAACTGAAATGCAGCTTTTTAAAGTTGAGCTACTGACCAGGTACTCCACACTTATTGATTGTTTGGGATTACCAGGAAAGTAGGTGATAGCAGACTGATAAATTTCTAATTTTATGCTACACTGTATTTTTGCTTTTTTCCATAGACTGCTGACACAGTATGCTATATTATTTTCTTATAGCATGTCATTTTAACACTACCATGGTTAAAATTGCTTTTGTTGATTCAGAGGATAAGTACACTGGTTGCATGCAAAACACTAGTATAATCTTCAGCGATTTCCACCACACTGAAATTTCATGCTCTAGGCATAGGGATTTAATGCCAAATTCCAAGCGAATTCCAAATACAGGTGATTGAATATAATGTAAATGTCTCATGCTCTCTGGTTGTTTGTTTGTTTGTTTTTTGTAAAGCACCATAGCTCACAGAAGCATCCTGCTGTATCCAAAGGGTGGGGCGAAGGAAGGGTGGAAAGGTAGTTCCAGAAGCAATGAGAAAGAGATGGTGTCCTTGGAACCTGAAATACCATCAAGTTCCTGTACTTCTTAGTACTTCTTCCAATTTGGATCAAAAGAAAAGTTGAAAGGGAAATCAGCAAGAGCTGTTTCCTGTCTGTTATGTAAGACTGGGCCTAAGTTTGCATTGTGACAATACTTCGTATTCTAATAAAAGTTTAGAAGAAAATATTAAGATATCTGTATCAGGACTATTGCTGCACATCCTTTCTGGTTTTGGTTAATTCATGGGATTTTTCAAACCTTCTAGCAAAGGACATTCTACATGTTCACTGGATTGTAGTTGGATATTCTTGCAGTTATGGCAGAAACATTTTATTTTTATTTAGAGGTCTGTCAGAAATTCTGTGAGTGATCTTGTTCTATTCATCTCCTCTGTGTTCCAACTTCTGTTTTATAAATATTTTTTCCCACTTATTATCTGTGTCATTTTTCACCGCAGTTCTGCATGTGACTCCACTAATCCAAATTACAGCTCCAGAGTAGAGTTTAAATGAAAGACAATAATGTATCAGAAAATTTTCCAACACCATCTTGAGAGTAAAAATCAAATTTAAAATACAAAATTGTATGTAATTAACTTGTATCTTAATTAGAATCATAAAATAACTCAGTCTGTAAGAGACCTCTGCATGCCCTCAATTGTCCAAACTTCTATTCAAATGGCCTCTAACTTCAATGTCCCACAAAGCTGCTGCACAGTGTTCTGTGCAGTCATATTTCAAAAGTCATCCCTAGGTACTTGACCAGTGGAAAAACTTAGTCTCTTACATATAGCTGGAATTGTCTTTGTTGCCATGGAAATGCTAGCTGCCTGTTGTCATTTTACTGTGTATATTTGTAAAAATCTGGCTTCATCTTCTTCATACGCCCCCATGTGGAAGACAGCAATTAGATTTTCCTCCTGCTCCCCTTCACCCAACTTTTCTCCAGGCTACACAAAACCACATCTCTCAGTCTATTCCTTGTATATTATATGTTCCAGCCCATACCATCTTAGAGGATCTTCTCTGGACTCTTCAGTTTTATGACCTCCCTTTTACTGGGGAATCTGAAGTGGAACACAGTGCTGCCTCCTAAGTGTTGAGTAGAAGGGATATAATTTCTTCTCTCAATCTGCTCTTGTTAATGAAGCCCAACATGTATTGCAGTCATGTTCCTCTCATTATCCAGGAAAAGCCCAAATTTTCTGCAGAGCTGGTACCTAACTAGTCAGATCCTGTACCTCCTCTAGGGGTTTATTCTACCCAAGGTACTGGACTTTGCATTTGTCTTTGCTGAACTCAGTGATATCTGCCAACTCCTCAAGCTTGGTAAGGTTCCTTTCTAGCAGCAAGCCAAGTGCAGTTTGTTCTTTGCTATACTTTTGTAAATACCAAACTCCTTGTAATCTAGCAATTATCTTTTTGCTTTGGGATGGAAAAAGGAAAAGTAACATAAATTTACACAGAATACATTTATTCAGAATAACTTGCTCCACTGACTCATCTCTTTCAAGATATCTTCAGGATAACTGAAGGTGAAAGCCCTAAACATAAGCTGATGGGTCTCCTTTATATGCCTAAGTTTTAACATGCTGAGGAATTTATGTAAATTCAGTAAATGACAGTGGTTTTTTTCTTGTTCTACAATTTCCTGGCTGCATGTCCAGAAAAACAAATTCTTAAGAGGAGCAAGAATAGAGATACTAGAGTCTATGGATTCTGCACATGAGCAAGTTCTACATGATACATGCTGAAGAGTCATTTCAGCTGAATAGAAACTAGATAGCACAACATCTTGTTGGAAGGCTTTACGTTGCTTAACTTTCTATATGCTCCCCATAGCTTTACAGAAAGGAGTCTGATGAAAGTATTTCAGGCAGTGATAGGTCTGGTAGAAAGATGCAAAGTTTTTATTTTACATAGCAGTAAATCATTGTGAGAGAGCTTTAAAAGTGTGGGACTAAAAACCTACTAAGGTAACCATCTCCACAATTAAAATCAGGTGGCTAAAATAAGTCTACTAATTTAGACTAATTAGTGGCAGGATAGTCCCCCTGAGTGAGAACAGCTCAGAAAGATACAATCTGCTAGGTAAGAAGGAGACAACAGACCACTGCTAAAATGGAAAACACTGGGCAAGCTAACAAATATATTATGCTGTGTTTATGTGAGCATGCATATAAAAAAAAGGATGAAGTTATTAAAAAAATGCAGAGAAATATGTAAAAACAAAATACTAAAATTACTGTAATTGTAATGACTATCTTGTAATCCTGTATGTCGACATAACAAAATGACAGTAGCAAAACTAACATGCATAATATGAACTTGTTTTTTATTGCCAGAGGGATGCTTAAAGGCACAGTATGCAGCTGCATAAGCACAAAAAACCAGCACAATGGAAATTTAAATGCATCCAAACACCACTCAAACCAGATTGTCTCAGAATAGCAAACCCATTCTGAATACATCAGAAATCCTTTCTCCCCTATCCTAACTAGTGATACTCAGTTCCTAAAATGTTTGCAAACCCCTTCCAAGTTTAGAAAAAAACTAGTAGGAACATAGGATGATAGTGTTGAAAATTAATGTCCTAATGAGTCCACAAATTATATATAAACATCAAGAGACTAACTGGCAACATGTGATGCCAGCTGAAAAGCCACCACCAAAATTAAATTAATGCACAAGAAGTGACAAGACTTATTAGATGTCTCTGACATATCTGTGCTGCTGAGCATGCTACAAGACAGCTATTTTTAAATGAGACGTGATGTACTGGAAACATTCTAGCCACTGAAGCATGAAGCTCTATGTAATCGGTTCACCACACTGCGAGGCTGCAGTACTATAGTTACATGTATCTTCCAAAATACTTGAGAAAAATTCAAATGGTGAGTGAAGTCTTGTAGATTTTCTAAGAGTTTGACTACAGTTTTTTCCTGAACTCACCTAACTATTTGCTTTTGAATGAAGCTCAAAGTTCTGTGACAGCATTGCAATATCACTGTTTCAGTTAATGCATTTGTACCTTTTAATTTCATCTGGTCAATTCTGTTGCTGAGGAAGACTTAATTTTAATGCATGACCTGTACTAAAATGTACCAAAGATGCATTTCACTCACAGTCACTCACTGGACAATCATCTGCAAAAGGAATTGATTAATTTAGGTTTTTTACAAGTGTTTAAGTCAGGAAGTTAGAGCAACACGACAAAATCTTAAACTATCTTTTAATTCAATAACATCATGAGTCAATACTGAGGTAGGTAATAAATGTTAACAAAAAAAATATGTGCACTCATGATAGCATTGTAGGACATGAAATCGATGATAACATAGCAACTATACACAAAACCTTGACAAGTCTTGTTATTCTAACCATTCTGCAGAGGAAGGAAATTTTAATTTTTTAAATGTGTATGTCAGGAAAAGGTTACTTCTTGATGGTCATTTTGATAAAATCTGTTATATTACATGAGTTGCTGAAATTATTTTCCCATTGACAGCACATGCTAGAGCTATAAAGGAAGCAATAGGAACAAACTTGCTGACTTTATGTTAATGATACTTTTAGATTATCTAGGAATATAAGAGAAGCATGACAAATATAGGACAACAACATGCAACAGCAAAGCATGTAGGAAATTTAGGTTAGTATTTTACAATGAACATTTTTGGCAATAGAATCTGTAGCCAAAATTGATGACTAACTTCAGTAGCACTGGGACTTCATATGTAATTTAAGAAAGCTTCTGAATACTTTGTTTGCCCATGATAACTATTCTTTAACTTAGACTTACAGCTGAAACAATGCGATATTTATAGAAAGGTAAGCATGCAAACTGTCTGCTTTAAAATTTGGTAGCAGGGGAAAATTGAACTTTTACTTGCAAAAAAATAGTACAGAAATAACTAGAAAAGTCACAGAAAACATAGGAAGGTCTCACAGTTAACATCCTCTCAAAATATGCATCTTACTATAGTGTTTAGTCAGTAGTATAAGTTATACTAGTAACTATTAATAAAGTAGATGTGTTCACTGTGGCCTTTGATATCAGTGATAAAACAATAAACTACAATATGGATGACAGATTGAAGTTTACAAAGCAGTAATACCAGCAATTTGTTTTGCAGCTCCAGAGGCGATTAAAAACAGCACAGCTTCCCAGGAGACACAATCTAGTTTTCTTCCCTGATGCTACTGTGAGCACAAGACATTTCAAAGGAACACATGCAAACAAGAAGGAAATAAAACTATCTTCTCAAAACATTTGTGTATGCAGTCAATTTGTAAATGGGGTGCGTGCATACCTCTGAATTTAATCAAGTCATATCCTCATAGAACAGCAATGTAAAAGTTTAAGTGCAGAATGTAGTACTGCTTTGTATTCCCTGAGTTTTACTTTGAACCCTACTTCAAAACCACTTTAGTCTGAACTAATTTTGTACTGACAAAATAAAGTCCAGACTGATAGAATTAATGGAGTCTGATGTTTTACAGAAGCCAGAGCAGTCTAAAACAAGAGCATTTTACTTTAGATGAGCATGCAGTCAGAAGAGAATTACAAATTCTGTTCTCCTTTAATATTGGCATTCATAAGCCTGAGACTGTGGCATATCAAGAGGATTTTATCTAAAAGCTCAAAGACCCTAAAAGAGAGGAAGACAACAATCCTTTTCCCTTATTTTTTTTCATTCCATGCTTCCAGTCAGAAGTTGTCAATGCACATATTTTTTACCTTGCACAAACTCTTGTCTTCTCTGGATTCCTCTGCAAGCTCATGCAGTATGTCAACTTGCCAGAGAACATGTCTATCAGGAAAAAGAAGACTCTCTTCTCTGCTAGATTAATGAACTGAACTGACTCACAGAATTGTCTGATGAGTGCCAGAGACATGGAAAAGGAATGTGCAGGACTAGGTGGCCAGGAGCCATGGTTGAGGGAGGGAGGGAGGACCTCTGCTATGGGAAGGGAACAAAGAAGGAAGATGCAGGAACAAAAGCTATCCCTTGCTGCAGCAGCAAGCCATTCATTTCATCCCATTTTTTCTAGAAAACAACCCGATTGTTAAAAACATGGGAAAAAAAAAAGCAATTTTATTTTTGTATTACCATTACAGAAAGCTATAAAAAGTAGAACTAAAATTAGCAAATTTCATTTTAATTACAAAAGAAATCTCAGGGTAAGGCATGGCAATCAGCTTTTGAAGCAGCATGTGAAACCTAAGTGCTTGCTATTTCTCCCTTGACACTTCCAGTCACTCGTTTAAGTTCTCACACCACTTTCTACATTATATCTCTTTAATGTCAGGTGTTACATCACTACAGTAAACCAAACTGGAAAGCTGATCCAGCTGAAAGATAAACACTTGGGATTTTTTTTGGTATTATAATACATATATATATTTATTTTAGAGTTGTTTCAGCACTCAGCCATACAAATGTCCATCTTAGTGTTTTTGATAGGGAAGCAGCAGATACATTTATTTCAGCAACACTGCTTCTCAACTTCAATTCACACATAGACAATTGCTATCTCACCTGAGTCAGAGAAACTTCAAAAGTAATAATATACTGATGCCATTTTTCAGTAAAAAGGCTTAAGTAACTCAGATAATTCTAAACCAGAAACAACTACTCAGTATCCCCATGTGAAGCACCTGGGGTCCCCATCATGCTGCTGAGAGTTCTGTGATTTGCTATTTTTGAGTTTTTGTGAAATCATAGTTGCTATTAAAGAGAAGTTCCTCCACTTGTTGTCACTCCAACATGCAGAGGCAATATGTCCTTCTGCATATTCACCTACTGGTGCAACATAATCTTTGTGAAAGGCAAGAAGGTTGAAATATTTATCCAAGTTCTACATCTACTTCACTCAGACTACTGCCAAAGATTTATTTGTTTATGGGTGCTCATTTTGAAATAAACTGAATCCATGCATGCTTTCTAGAGCATACTCTGAATAGCTACAGGAAAATATGTTTTAGATGCTGATGATCAAGCGCAGAAGTAAAGTTACCACCTCAGCATGAAACCCACCATTTCTTATCCGTCTCTTAGGATAAATATCTTAGGAATCAGCACCTTATTAAGAACTTCAGTGATATGTTGGAACTGGAATTAGGCACTGAAACTCCTTTATTTCACAAATTGCAGCGTTACTCTGGACAGCTGACACTTTCTTGACCTTGTCTCCCTTGACTCAGTGTGTATTAGTTATATCTTTCTTACCCTAGTTGTTAAACCCAACCAAACAAAGACCTTACCTCCCAACTAACCAATGCATTATGAGAGAGATCTAGGGATTTCAGGTGACTACATTTTTTCAGAGAATTACATAAATGAGTGATTTTCTCCTGCCAGAAAGGAGCAAGGATGACAAATTATCTACTTCAGAACAAAAGGGCAGACAGGGTGGGAGCATGACTAGGAGCATGCATAACCTCAGCATATTTATAAGAAAGGCAGGTAATATCTTCTACACATTTTCATACTTAATATGGTGAATACAAAATGCATGATGAAGCTGTTCTGCAGTATGTCAAGAATTCTGACAACATTTTTAGTGCTAAACAAAAATTGGAAACAGGTTAATTTCTTGTTGCTACAATAGAGGCTTTGTAGGTATTTTTTTAATGGTAGAACTAGTAATATATGTACTAGTAGAACTAGTAGTATGTGGTAGCCATTGCAAAAAGATGCTAGAAGGAAGTATGACATCTTTCAAGTGCCACTTAATATCAAGCCAGCACTTGTGCAAAACTGCATATCCACTTTCCAGGACAAAATAACCTTTATGATTCCAACTTTTCCTTGTAAACAAGTATTTATAGCAGGTGCTTATTAAGCAAATTAAAGCACTATCATCTAGTATACAGGGAAAACACACATCGGCTACACAGACCTAAGCTTCATCTTCCTCAGGAATGAACCTATGACAATAAAACCTCAGTTTCTAACTGTATGAGGGTTTTGACCACAAAGAACATTTTAGATGCGTCTTATGAGACATCAATATTCAACTTTTTTTTTAAAAGGTAAATGTAAAGGTAATCTGTGAGAGAGAAAATGGATTGTGCTTTCCCTGGGTTCTCTGGTAGTATTGGGTGTATCTCTGCTGAACTCTGTGACAGTATTTCTGTAAGAACAGGTACAAAGAAAAGATACTTAATACACTG